TGGACATTTCGCTTCGAGAACATTCTGCTGTTGGTCCATGATGGTTTGTGATTTGTCCCTGAAGGATCTTGGAATGCGATTATCCCCATACAATTTGTCTAGCACTGCATCCGACGTAATACGGGTCGCCAACACTCGCTCGAGCCCTCGAATTATGTCTTCGGAAGCACCGGCTGACATTACAGCGGACGAGCCAACAGGATTGATTACAGCAAGGTACTGTGCATCAGATATTTTCCCGAACCAAAAGCTAGTCTTGTTGATGCCAAAGTGACACACCAGTAGCAACGGCGACCTTTTCGCAAAGGCAGCCTGTTTCATCTTCATACCAACCACGACACCGTGCTTCAGTAGTGATAGATCACTATCCCCGGACACCTCGACACCTGCTTCGTATATTCTCTTATCCGAATCCGTTAACTCACCTTGGATGCTACTACTTTGCTGATTCTTAATTTGCACGGGGATTCCAGTGATGGTTTCTTCACTAAGAGAATCCCCTCGGACCACCGGGAGCACAAAGTCGTAGAGGGGCTGATTGTCGCACGCGGCAATGATCGAATTGTTGAGTAATGATGTATGTAGATAGCGTGAGTTCACAGCGCGCTGCGCCAGAATAGTGCCGGAGAATGCTAACGTGAAATCCTGAGCAACATGACGCCACTCCTCGTCTTCTTCAGCCTCAGCAACCAAACCAGGAGGCCATAACTTCGCCATGAAAGTCGTCACAGACAAAGGCTCGAACAAGCTTCGCCATTCGACTTTGCATCTGCAGAACAGCAACAGCATATTGCAAACGAGCTCGCCGACTGTGCCCTTGGATTCGAGGCCCGTTGATAAGGCATCGGATATAAGGCGCAAACTGGTTTCAAACCAGGCATCACGCTCAAACAGCAAGCTGACAGCACCCGCGGCCAGGAACGGCTCTGATGCAGACCCCAAATGCACCGTCTCCCTGTCTGACTCGCAGAAACTCATGATGGCCATATGGGACGCGACCAGATTTTCACCTAGAATCCGCCGGGGCACGATCGACCAACTCGTGCACGCCAGCAGCGCGGCAATGACTACAGGCTGCGACAACCTTTCAACAGAAACAGTCGCGCCCCCCATGATCTTCTCCCGCACAAAAGCGTTCCTGTTGGTCTCCTCAAAGTCCGCCAAACTCCACCACAAAGGCCGCCCGATAGCGCCCAAAGCATGCGAAGTAGTAGCCTCGGACAAGCGGCTGTAACACTTGCAGCGGGCCAGAGGCGACGTGAAAGTAAAGTTGGGTGGGAAGAGTTGACTTCCTGGACCACCCATAGGCCTTAGGGACGGGTCATTATGAGCAGTGGGTGAGAAGTTGCTCAACCGGCCGCAGGTGTCCAGGCACAACCACGCCAACCGAGTTCTCCTATTAGTCCGCAATTCCGCAACCTCGCGACGCAACTTGCGGAACAGCTCATTGGGTAGCAGTGTTCGAGCTTCATCACAAACAATCAGTAACGTATCATGTTCCGCCAGGCGTAGAGCCTGACGGCAGCGCATTACGGCCGATAACCAGTCGGCGTCCTCGTCCCAAGCCGGTTCGATTAAATGCGACTTATCCGCCTGGGTCTCCCACAACAATCGTCTCCAATCTTCGCCGCCGCATTGCTGCTTCTCCGCCCAGCATGCCGTTGACAACACAACACTTTTGAGTGATAACCGATTATTGACTTCGAGAGATTCAAGCAACTGACTCCGTCGGGGATAGGAACGGGTTCCTTTGGCCGCACACGATAGATAGATCAGCGGCTTGGTAAGGCACATTTCTCGTACTAATCGGCTCTTGCCGCAACCCGAAGCTTGGACGAAGGTAAGTGTCGGTGAGTGAGAATTCGTCCGCCTTCCGAATTCCACGCCTGCGTCAACCCACTCCCAAGCCGCCATCGGGCTCATACCGCGCGTATCGTCATACGGGGCCCGAAACGCCTCAGCAACATGCTTGATGTGGTCGTCGGTGCTGGTCCTGCTTTGCGGGACCGGGAGGTCGTCCTTTATCGGC